GCAAAATTGAGCAAAAACAAGCAATATTACCTCTAAAATGTAAGTCACTTATTGCTTTACTGAACTTGTATAAAATAATTATTAAATGTGTTCATGCTGAAATCTGCAGAAAAACGGTACTCTCTGTGTTATATAGATTAAGTTAACTATATTAAATTATAGAAATATAAAAACCATACGGAGGCATTTTTTGCCGTCTATAATTTAGAATGCCTGGAATTTTGAGTTTTAATATACTAATAAATCACATGCGTGCACTCGGTGTGTGATTTGGTGATATAGCCTACTTGATAATGTCAGATCGCACATCATTACAACAACACTTACCATATTATCGCAGACGATGCTGTATCGCACAGCACACACTAGCCTCGACTTGAGTGGAAAATTAATCATCCGCGGTTGTGCGCGCACTTGTTTGCACATGAGCAAAGGTGTTTTTTAATCTCGTTTTTTAGGAGTCTAACTTGCAAACACCAGACCACTGATTTGTCAAACCTGCTTTCCTGCAGTCCGTGTTCTTCTGACTTCTGACTATTTTGTAGTAAGTAACGAATATGCTTCGGGGAAATGTATCGGAGTAAAAGTATACATTTTAATTAGGAAATGTAGTGGAGTAAATGTAAAAGTTGGCTGAAATATAAAAACTCAAGTAAAAAACCCAAAAAATACTTAAGTACTGTAACGAAGTATTATTACTTCGTTACAATACACCACTGCTTATTAATACCCAGGGGGAAAACAGTCTGGCTTTGGTAATTCAATCATTAACTTTGTTATAAAATTTGACACTGTAATTCTCGCTGCGAGAGGTGAGTTTATCATTATGACGGCATCATTTTATATTCATTAGCTGTTCAGCACATTATTAATATTTCAGTAACGCACAGCATGAGATATTTGACAGAACCTCGTTAACAGCTTCCTGTAACCTTTCATATCTGCACACGAGGATAAAATAAATAGGTAGATATATCAGCTGAGAAACATTCAGATACAGAAACGTGGCGTTCCACCAAATAACCGCACATTTACATCAGAAAGGGAAATATGAGATTGCACCCTGAGAAACGGCCATGAAAAGGTCTAAGTGCAGATAACGTACCCAGATCCCGCCGAGGCCAGTGCGCGTGGTCTGTGTTTGAATGCCTCTCAGGAACGGCAGGTGAAAGTACTTGGCAAAGACCAGCAGCAGCATTCCCTGCATCCTCTGAGAAGTGACCTACAGACAGAGAGAAACACACACAGATATACGAGTCAACAGGAGATAAGCGGACTGAAAGTGAATTAGAAGAATTGGACATATTTCCTGCATCCAGCCGAGTATATGAAAACACACAACCTGAGTACCAAACGCTTACTCTCTAATTTTAGAGAAAGAAAGAAAACTAAAACTAAAACAGTTTATAAATAAAAATTGGTTTAATTAATTTAAATAACCCTGAAGTATAAATATTAGAATCAAAACTTTAAAAACTTGTCAATTATCTGAAATAAAATAGATTTGAATACTAAAATTAGTAAAGCTAAAAGCAAAGTACAGATAAAGCTAAATATAGATATTAAAAAAACATAAAATAATAAAATTGACAAAAACATTAAACATAAAAACAAAAACATTGATTGAAAGACTAAAACTTAAACTAAAATTAAAATGAAGACTGAAAATATTAAAATAAATGCAAATTCATAATATTAATACATTCTATAATAGTGTAAAATAACATTAAAATAACGCACATTGTTTATAAACTGTGCAGTATGTATTCCAGTTTTTGTATGAATAGAAGATGCTTGTTCATAATGCAAGTGTGTACACTGTATGCAATACTATTGTTAACTGAAACCATAAAAAATCATTACTTGAAACAAAGTAAACCATGAAAACTGAAATCAAATTAAAAAAAATATTAAACTAAAAAAAAATATATATATATATATATACAAAAAAAAACTTATTTTATCTCAGCTATAGTTGCCAGGGCAGCATGTCTCATTTTCATTTAGTTTAACTTGAAGTACCAAATAAACAAAACTAAATACACTAAAACTAATAAATAAAAATTAATACAAACTATGTCGATATTAAATAAATAATAGCAATCACAGTTGTAAGTAATAACAATAACAGCACAATAAAACGTCACTAAATGTAAAGTGACAAAACTGTATAGTAAGCAACATTGTTTTCATAGATTATTTTTCCACACAGAAAATAAAGCCAGATAAAATGAAGAGGAGTCTAACTGATAGAAAATAGAAACATGAGCCGCAAGACCAGCAAAGAGATTTTCATTCTCAGCCACTCAGTCACTGTTACATAATGTGACCCCTGAAGCTCTAATGACAACTGTATGAATGTGTGTGTGTGTGTGTGTGTGTGTGTGTGTGTGTGTGTTTAAAGGGAACATTACTGACCAGTACATATCCAAAGGGGCTGAGAGCGTCCATGCAGACCTCGCTCCACTGGTCAGTGAAAAGAACATCTTTCAGTCGTTTGTTGATCATTGAGTTCACTTCCTGTAAGCTGAGACAGGGTGCAAGAAAATACAGACATGAGATGAAGCTGAAATTAAAGGACAGAAAAATATCAGAATGGAGAGGTAGAACAGACCTCAAGGCAGGTGGTAGATTATACTGTATCTCTAGTGTTCTTATGTAGGTCATGTCCTAGATTATGACCTTCGCATTATAACTCCATTTATTCTGATGAAAACTTGCTTTACAAAAATTGACAGTGTATTATTTTGATTGTCTAGATTATCTTCTCTCCAGAGTATGGGTCTGAGGTCCTACTGATGTCATTAACAGGATACTAAATAAAGTTTATAAAATCTCATGATCTGATGTTGCTGGTATTGAAATTAATATATCATGCTTTCCTTGTCTATGAATCATGGAATTTGAAGCCTGTTACATGAAGTCTTCTTGACCACATACTCAGTAAGACTTTGTCTCTTTTTAAAGAAATTAATACTTTTATTCAGCAAAGGTGCATTAAATTGATCATTAAATGCATTTATTATGTCACAAAAGGTTTCTATTTCACATAAATGCTGTTATTTAGAATTTTACATTCATTGTAGAATCTTGAAACAACTGTTTTCAACATCTGTGATAATCAGAAATGTTTCTTGGGTTGCAAATCAGCATATTAGAATGATTTCTGAAAGATCATGCGAAAATTCAGCTTTACACCACAGAAATAAATTACATTTTTGAAATATTCTCATACAAAACAGTTATTCTGAGCTGTAATAATATTTCAGAATATTTTCACTGTGTTTTTAAAGAGCACAAGAGACTTCTTTCAAAAAAGACCCCAAACTTTCTACTGGAAATGTAGTTCAGTCATTTGTATTTCATTATGGTTACACTGATTGACCTTGTCAAACTAAATATTTCAGTCTGTTTTGGAGGTAGAAAATCACAGTGATTGTTGTTCTTTTAAAATAAAATACTAAAAGGTTTTGTGGTGCAGTGAAATTGTTATTATTGTCCGTTTAAACACTGACCTTCAACCCTGTGATATTCAACCAAAAACTATTTGTAAAAGGATTGAATGGTTGTTACAGAGGACATGATTTGAAGGAGAAAACAATACCGTTTGACTAATATGAAAATATTATAATAATATGAGGCGTAAATATATTTAAAAATATTATATAACCTAAATTTTCAAAAGGTTACTGTTGAAAATTCATCAAATTCAAATTTTCTGAGAAATTGTCAGTAGGAACATTTCCAAGTATGCATCTGTGATCACTTTTCATGCTGAGCACCTTTCCTTTAGAAAAGCAGCGGCTCTCAATGGAAATCTCACCCTATAATATACATGTCTGTGTTCCCATCACCAACATTCAGCCCCAGTAATGAAGTGATGTCGTCAGGAGGCATGGCTGAGCCCACGTTCCACGTGATAATGTGCACCCTTTTGGCAGAAAGAGACATTAGAGAAGAGCAGTCATCTGTGTACACATGTTCACATACTGACAGTCACTACTGCTGGTTTTTCTTAGGCACCGCATCCAACAGCATTATTATGCAACTGTATAATAAGGTGAATGTGAGTGTTTTCTCCTGTAATTCACTGCTGAATATCTTTAGTTGGAACAGTGAAATAACAAAGCTGTGACTGTTGACACTGACAGATTGTGGGTTTGCCCTATAACTCATCTTTTCAATTTACAAACAGCAAGCAAAGACTGTGCAAACAAGTATCCTTGCGGCATATTAGTGAATAAACAAATTAAAGAAATGGAAATGGAAAGGGAGTAAGAACATCATCAGGACGACTACACACAACACTGCACACTTGCAAAAGCAACCTCGTTTTGTCGTGTCACATTAAATGTGTTAGTAAATCATCTCAATGAAGATCCAAACAATGCTAGGAATATAAATATTCCGTATATTTTTCAAGAATTCCACAAGCATCCCTCCACTATTCAGTAGGCTATCAACCTTTATTTCAAAGAGAGAGAAGAATCTCATATTTCTATAAATGTAAAATATACATCAATTTCAAAAGAATTGTTCACCCAAAAAAGAGAATGTACTCAACCTCAGGGCATCCAAGATGTAGATGAGTTTGTTTCTTCGAAGAGAGAGAAGAATCTCATATTTCTATAAATGTAAAATATACATAAATTTCAAAAGAATTGTTCACCCAAAAAAGAGAATGTACTCAACCTCAGGGCATCCAAGATGTAGATGAGTTTGTTTCTTCATCAGAAGAGATTTGGAGAAATGTAGCATTACATCACTTGCTCACCAGTGGATCCTCTGCAGTGAATGGGTGCCGTCAGAATGAGAGTCCAAACAGCTGATAAAAATATCACAATAATCCACAAGTAATCCACATGACTCCAGTCCATCAATTAACATATGTGAAGTGAAAAGCTGAGTGTTTGTAAGAAATAAATAAATCATTAAGACATTTTGCTTCCATCTAAAATATGAGTCCACTATATACATAATATTGCTTTCTCCCATGGAAAAAAAATAGTCTCGTCTGAATCAGGAGAGAAATATGCAAAGATCAAGCACCGTTTATAAGTGAAAAACAGTCCAAAATGGTTGTAAACAATCTTGAGATGACAACAGGGGATGGACTTTTTTAAACTGGAGGAAGCGTTATTATGGATTATGGACTCTCTCATTTTGGCCAAAAGCAATGGTTAATATGGTTAATAAAATAGTTAAAATGTCTTAATGATGGGTTTTTTCTTCTTCACACAAACACTCAGCTTTTCACTTCACATATGTTAACTGATGGATTGGAGTGGTGTGGATTACTTGTGGATTATTGTGATGTTTTTATCAGCTGTTTGGACTCTCATTCTGACGGCACCCATTCACTGCAGAGGATCCGTTGGTGAGCAAGTGATGGAATGCTACATTTCTCTAAATATGTTCTGATGAAGAAACAAACTCATTTAAAACTTTGATGGCCTGAGGATGGGCACATTTTTAGCAAATTTTCATTTTTGCCTTCTCAAATTTATTTTAAATTCGATTAAGCACACTGGACTGCTGCAGGTTAATGGGGAAAAAGACTGTTGAAATTTTTGGGGTCAGTAATTTTCTTTTTTTATACATACAGGAAATTGATACTTTTATTGAGCAAGAATGTCATAAATTGATCAAAAGTGAAAGTAAAGATGTGTTGTAAATAGAAGATTTCAAAAACATTAAAAAAAATCTTCCCAACCCCAAACATTTAAATAGAAATGTATATATTATTCATTCAGGATCCACATTTGCAAAGGAAAATATACAGGCTATTTAAGCAAATTCAAAATTCAAGATAATTCACATTAATGTCCAAAAAAATGTTTTATTGTTTTAAAAAGTAAAAGTAGCAATAATCTGTGTTCTCATGAGTAACTGTATGCACTTTATGTAGATGCTGTGAATGCTGTAAACCATAATAATCTGGAATGTGGAAGTACACTCTTAAAAATAAAGGTGCTTCAAAAGGTTCTTCAAGCGATGCCATAGAAGAACCATTTTTGGTTCCACAAAGAACCATTCAGTCAAAGGTTCTTTAAAGAACCATCTCTTTCTTACCTTTTTATAATCTGAAGAACCTTCTTTCGGCACAAAGAACCTTTTGTGATACAGAACGGTTCTTTAGATGTTAAAGGTTCTTTATGGAACCATTTAGACAAAAAGGTTCTTCTATGGCATCGTGAAGCACCTTTATTTTTAAGAGTGTAGATGTGCAGGTAGGCTACAGTTCAGCCAACAGTCATGCCCAAACCTGCACTTGTGCACTTGGCAATCTAAAGTTTAGTTCGTACTAAAGTAAAACACTTTTGAACTGGCTAATCAAGGCCTTTAAGTTCACTTGTTCGCCCAAAAGCAGAATACAGTGCAACAGGTGGCTTCCAGCAGTAAAATATTCCATCCACTTTCACCAAAATTGATTTTTAAAGGGGTCATGAATTGAGAAATAAAAATTTCCTGGATGTATTGACATGTAAGAGGTCATTTTACTATAAAAACATCCTGTGAGTTTCAGAGCTCAAAATTTCCTTGTTAGTCCAAAAACAGCTTTTATTGAAACTCAGCTCAGAAAATGACTCATTTCAGATTTTGTCACATTATGACGTAATAGTGCAATGAACATCAAGATGTGAACCTGACAGTAATATCACAACATGTAAGTATTAGTATTAGGTATCTTAATTGCTGGAGCTGTCAATCATCTCTTATTTACATCGTGCTTGCACTGTTACTTATGATGAAAGCATTTGCGAAAGTGCAAAACTCGAGTTGTAATGACAAGATCACTGCATTCATACGCTCAACAGTCTGTCTTCGGCTACAATGCTCATTGCTGCAACCTTTCATGCGACAGGAGTAAATATAATACTATAATCAACACTCTGCATCACTAGTTAATCTCAACTGCTGTAATAGTAAAAATGTAGTAAAAGTTTTTGAGAGAGCTCCACATGTAATACTTATTTCATATGCAAAGATGTTAGCCAATCACATCAACGGCCGTTTCCCCTGAAGTCTCACAGCAGACACACCCCTTCCAACCGAGCTTTCAAATCAGAAGGCTAAAATCAGGGTAGAAAATGTCCTTTTTTCTGAATTATGACAATTTTTTATGTAAAAATCATACCAATATTACAAGTGCACCTTAGGAAGCATTATCAAATATTAAAAAAATGCAGTTCATGACCCCTTTAAGAACAGCATGTAAATATTTGACGACAGACCAAACATGAGCTCTAAGGTTGTCAAGTAATGGTATGCTTATGTATAAGCCATTAGTCCTGGTGTCAAACTCAGTTCCTGGAGGGCCACAGCCCTGCACAGTTTAGATTCAACCCTAATTAAACACACCTGATCCAGCTAATCAAGTCCTTCAGGCTTATTTGAAAACTACATGGTATGTATGTTATGGTGCGTTCAAGTCATGTCGGATACATCGTATTTACGCGTTGAATGCACATGAACAACACCACAAAGTCGTTATTACGAGTGGGAAACTCGAAATTTTCTTTAAGCCCTGAGTTTCCGAGTTGAGGGCGTGTCAGTGAGAAAACGTCTCAGATGCAATGGACGCACGCAGCCAAATACTATAAATATGCAGCATCTGTATTGACGGTAAATTTGTTGAAATTAATAAAATGATTATTTTTTTGTAATGTACAATAAAACTATGTTACACAAAATATTATATTATTGTATAATTACCATAGAATATGATGTACAGAGCTACTGATACGGTGCGTTCAAGTCATGTCGGATAAATCGTATTTACGAGTTGAATGCACATGAATGTCACCACAAAGTCGATATTATGAGTGGGAAACTCAAAATTTTCTTTAAGCCCCAAGTTTCCGAGTTGGGGGCATGTCAGTGAGAAAACATGTCGGATGCAACGGGTGCAGCCAAAGACAAGAGATATGCAGCGTCTGTATTAATGGTAAATTTGTTGAAATTAATAAAATATTATATAATTGTATAATAACCATAGAATATATAATGATTCAGTTTACATCACCTTCATAAATTGAATAAAAACAGAAAAAGCAAAAACATAATGATGCACATTCCTTTTTCATCATTTTGTAGATGTAGAGTTAAAAAAAATCTTTGAATTTTATGTAGAAAAGTTAAATCGCCATCTTGTTCCGACCAAAGTGACTTGAATGCACCTGATGTCATAATTACAACTTGTCAACTCGTAAGTACGAACGTCCCAGGAGGTTTTCAACGCAGCATTAGAGCAGGGTTGGAACTAAACTCTGCAGGGCTTTGGCCCTCCAGGAAATGAGTTTGACACCTAGTCAGAGCAATTTTGAACTACATTTAAAAAAAAAAAATAAAAAATAAAAACTTCTTGTGAAGAACTACACTACCCATAATCCTAAAGAGCGCTCCAATTACCATGGAATATATAGTAGCTGCAATTACCATGGAAACAGAATTTGGTGTAACCCCGGTGTCCTGGCCAAAATGCCGCCACTGGCCTTTGTCAATCATGGCCTCCTAATAATCCCCATCTACTTGTTTGGCTCTATGACTCTCTCTCCTCTCCACCTGCAGCTGGTGTGTGGTGAGTACACTGGCGCCGTTGTACTATGGCTGCTGGTGGTTGAGGAGATACCCCCCCATATGATTGTAAAGCGCTTTGGGTGTACAGCAATACACAATAAAAGCGCTATACAAATGCATCATTCATTCATTCATTCATTCATTCATTCATTCTACTCTGACTTCTTTTTCTCAGAATTGCAAGATATAAACTCACAATCGTGAATGATAAAATCCAATTCTGAGGAAAAAAAAAACATTTCTAACAATTGCGACTTTATCACGCAATTCTGACTATTATTTGCAATTGTGAGTTTATAACTGTATTTCTGAGAAAAAATCTGAATTGCGAGTTTATGTCGCAAAAGTCGCAATTACCTTTTATTTTTTAATTAGTGGTAGAAATGGGCTTCAACACTATTTATGCACATAGTCAATTACTAAAAAGTCAGTTATAAAGTTGTAATATTGCAAACTTTTCAATGTAATATTTTCACTCTTGGCCAAAAAATATAATTGGCAGTTGAAATTGAAACCATAATGCAACACTTTTTAAGTGAGCTACATTGTTAAAATCGTACCTGAAATCCTCCACCACCTGCGCAACAGTGAGTTTAGGCTGAGGTTCTGAGGGGTGATTGGAGCTGTTGGGGCTGGTTGGTTCAGCCTGGTTGCTCAGCTGCTGCGGTTTAGGAGATTCTGGAGGCTTGGGCTCCGATACGTCGATAGATCCTTCCACCCGCGGGCTCCTCTGAGGCCGGCGTGGCCTGGCTGGAGCCGCTGGTGGTGTAGAAGGGGCAGGAGAAGATGTGGAGGATGGGGATGTATCTGCTGGTCCTTTTGGTTGTCCAAATGATGCCAGATCATTAGTCTTGCACTGGCTTTGAATATGTTGCTCTGGTTCCATCCTTATCTAGCAAAATGAAGCACACTGGTGGATCAATCAGCATGTGCATTTCAACTACATTTACTTGTTAACTACATTTTCAATTTCTCCTTGGTAAAACTCCTGATAGAATCACAATGAGGCATTTAAAAACAAACATGGCATGACAAAATAAAGGCTGCTCATATAACGTTCATATACTGTTCCCATTTATTTCCAAATGCAAAATGGTTTGAATGAAATGATGTAAACAGCAACACCTTGTTAAAAAGAAGCACACTTTGGGTCAAAGACATTAAGATGTCCGCATCAAAAGAAATTTACAAAAGTGATTTTATGATTTTTATTTTTACATTAAATGTAAGTAAAATGTCTACTTTTAAGGTTTCAAGTAAGTTTTTGGAGAATAAAATGTCAAAATTTGGTTGAAATAATGTTCCATTGTCATTCAGTGTAACTGAATGTAACAATATTTATGTAAAAATTCAAACAACATGCTTATTCTGACTTGTACATATTGAAATATATAAAAGAATAAGGGAGCATATTAAATTTGATTGTGTTTTAAATGAGTAAAAAAATCTTAC